TTGGTTTGAACACCTTGACGCCTGTTTCATTTCTAGAAAGTGTAAAACCTATTCTTATTTTTCATACTTTGATCCTGGCAAAAAGGTCCCATGGTGATGCAAAACAAGTTTAACACACATACGTACGTACGTACACGCACGCACGCATGTGAAAAGGCAATCCATTTGGGTTTTACGTTGTGCCGGGAGATGCCTGCCTGCATGTACGTGTCGCGACATTCCAAGAGATGACGAGAGGAGAAAACCCAAACGGACGCGTGAGAGGGGGAGCGGCGGCGGCGGCGTGGGGTGTGGGGGATTGTTTGGCAATTGGGTATTGCTCCCTTGTGAACATGAGCGCACGTGCCAAGCGCTCTTTAAAACCAGAGACGAAAAAGCACTTTGTCAGAGAAGAAGCCACACTCCGTTAGCCACTCGAATGTAATGTGCGGCCGTCAGATAAAATGGGAACTACCGCTGTTTTATTGGATGTAAGAGAAGCCGTTTTTCTTTTTTGTGGCTGACCATTTCATGTCTCCTTACCCAGAGAACTCCACAAGATGTTCCACGCCAAAGCAGATATTTTTTATTGAGCATAAGGTAGAATACTCTTTTAAAAAATGACTATATTCACGTGTAAGACAACACGTATAAACCCTGGCTCGTTGGGAGAAAGAGGTACAGAACAAAATGTGGACTTCATCTGTTTTGTCTGTGTGGGATCGAGTGTTTCGCCCTCGCACTTGTGGGTTTTCTCTCGGTGCGGCATTTCTCTCCCACATGTAAACATGAATTGGCCGATGACACCTTAATATATAGAGGATTGCAGAGCTTGGCCAATTGTTGGTCGCGTCTGCTCACCACACGGTTTCCTTCCTGAATATCTGCGGTTCCTCTTTTCGAGAGCGAGTAAATACTGTGACGCATTACAAGCTGAAGTTCTTATCATAAAACCATATCCATATACTCGTTTGAGAAAATTATTTTCGAATGCCCAGTGCAGCCTGTTAATATTGGTTCACATGATTAAGTACCAAATGTTGAGTATACAGACACCAGTTTATAAATTACGTAATTTGTGAGTGGGCGAGACCCCTTGTCTGTGTTAGCACAGGTGCATACACAGTGAATGTAACATACATTTACAGACACTACCGAAAATGCCACAGTTGGATATAATTTAGTCAACAAAAATGTTTTTTTTCCCATTTAAACATGCACTTAACTGAAATTTATATTCCTAAGCCAGTGGTGGACATTCAACATTCCTATGACAGGTATTTTAATCGAACAAGTATTTATTCCCTCCTGACAATCCAATTAATCGTCATGATTCGGGAGTCGCGATTCAACTCAAGATTCAAGTTTTTTTACATTACGGTGATTGTAACGGCCACTAGTGGCTGCAGGGATTACGTGAGACCATTATACGTACAACATATATACAAATTGAACATCTTTAATTCTTACACACGCCATTCTGTGCCTGTATCGTGAACTTATCAATCAGTTTTAATCAATTCATGAATGCCATGGTTGCGCTTCACCCAATCACTGCCGTGACATTCGACCAGGGCTTAATCTCAGCCGCAGATATCCTACGCTGAGCCCTTACGGGATATATTCGACGAGGAGATGAAGCCCTTGCATCCAATGAAGTGCTGCACATCTTATCCATCCCAGAAGGACAACAGCGGGCTGAGTCAACCCCCCAAACTCCCCGTGCCACTGTGCCACGCACAGCCAATGTTCGTGTCATCGCGCACCGAATGCATTCATTCCACGATTAGTGGGGGGTTAGCTTGTCGCGTTTCGGCACGTGCGCATCGGAGCAAATACTTCCGGGACTGAGGGTTCCAATCGGCTCGAGGTCAGCAGAAGAGCCAGTGGAATTCCTTCCACTCCGATTATTACGGCCAAACGGCCCCGCGTTGCGCGCGGGCGAAATGTCCCGAGCCCAGTCGTTCATGGACATTTGGTGCGCGGCATAGAGCCGTCAAGCGAAGGCGGCGTGTATGAAATCAAGCGGAGGGAATCTGAGGTCCGACTCCCTGTGCAAGTTTCATTGGTGGTGGTGGTGATGATGGTGAGAGGTTTTCCTCAAACCCATTCCACTGATCACCTCCTGGAAACATTAAACCAGTGTCAGTTCTAATCTGCCATTTCCCCCGAAACGAAGTGTTCTCTGTATTTATCTGATGCTTCTTAAAGACATCCTCCTCCCTTGTTAAACGAGAAAACAAAGACATGAATCATCCGTTATATAGATAAGATGTGAGATTTACTGGAGTGAACATTTATAAACGGCTGCAGTGAGTCTCTTGCTCTTTAATATCAACCAGCTGCAAAACTGCGAGATTTCCTCTCGTATGGGGCACACGTGCAAATGTGTGCGTTCGTTCATTAAAGTTCGCGACGTGCGTGTATGCTCAAACCACCTACGCATTTATCAGAAAAGACCCAGAGAAGCTGCGAGCTCCAATCAGCCACCATGGTATACATCTTTAACAGTTTACGTTTGTTGGGCTAACCGGCAAACCCACACGGATCCAGGAGTTGAATGTGGGAGGACAGCAAAACCATGGTTTTTTTTTCTAAGAGTTGCATTTTTATGAGCAGTTGAATAAAAACGCACGATCCCGCCATTACTGCGGCTATTTATGAGTTTAAGAAGACACGGTCTGGATGGAGATCGCGTCTTTTTGCCCCCAGCTCATTACATCCACAATTGCCTTTGCCAAAGTTGATTCCCGGCCACTGCTTGTGCGGATTATTTTAAGCCTTCTTTTTCATACGCCTGCGACGATCTCACAACTATGGACCGCAAAGGCCAAAAATCCCAGATTATCTTGTGTAAACACTCGCCCCTGTCATAGTAATGGGGAATTTCCATATTTGACGCAAATTGGCATGTACCTTACCAGCAAAGCATTTGGTTGATTCTGCCTTAGCAGTTGGGCACAACTAACAAACAAGTCAACACACTCGTCAATATTGAATGTCCATTGCCTGAATCGTCACATATAAAACAAAACAAAAACTGTTATTAGTTTACCAGGTAAGGCCCACTATTTTTGGTGGTGGTGGTGGTGGTGTTGACGAGTATGTTGAGTTGTTTTTTTATCAGCCATGGCTCATTTTATCTCAAATTCCTGTCTCGCAGGAGTGACGTTTGTCCGATGCTTTTTTAATGATTGTTTTGCACGTGGAATGAAAATGAAGTACTGTCCTTTGACAAAAGCTTACACGCTCAATAGTAGTGTGCACTGAAAAGGCCTGCGCAGAAAGGGTCATGATCCCACTTGCTGTACTGTATCGCTATCTCCTGGCCACCTCACTGTTTAGCAGGCCTGGGAGTCTCACAGACCTTGACGTAATCCACCAGCCATTGCCTCCAAAATGCTAACTTATAGTCGAGCACCACTACCAAGGTGCACAGCAATAAAAATGTGACAATTAAAAAGATGTGACTATGCGGAGGGGGCAAGACACGTGTGCACGTGCATGAGTACCTAGGGAGCGGTTGTGTCGCGGTTGGCGCTACGCTGCGCTACGAACCCGGCGACCTGAGTTCGATTGCCGCTCACGGCCAACACCGGTGACAATTATCTGAGCCGGTCCTGGGCCTCTGCTAGGCCGACTCAGTCTCAAGTGAGTACCTGGCATGGTGCATAAACATCGCCACTAGGGAGACAAAGGTGGCCGGGCGTGGTGCTGGCCACCCACCACCTCGTTTGCCGTGCCGGCCTTCATAGGTGCTCGCTAACAGCACTTGCCCCAACAGTCTGTTAAGGCTATACAGGTTTTCTTTGTCTTTGGTGTGGGGTGTACCCGTCAGTACGGTACTGGGTAGACAACTGTGGCTCGGGCATGTAGCTGGCAACGCAAACCTCCTTGTGCTACTCGCCAACAGCACCCGCTCCAAACAGACCCTGTAGGCTACACGAGGGATCTGTGTCGCTCTCGAATGCGGTTTTTTTGGGGGGCATATCCCCAATTTTGCTCCACGTACTCAGGAGCTTCTTACCGGCCAAGTCTTCACTTCGTGAAGAAGATCCCAGCACAAGGGGCGCTACGTGTTGCACATCGTGCCGAAAACACGCGGCGCAAGCCGATAGCACAACGGAGAGCTGTCCAGCGCAAACTTGAACACTCAACAGAGACAGGGTTTCGTCATTGTCGTGGGTTTTGGTGGTCGAAATTTGCCGGTGTTAGACGGTATGTCACGGAACACTAAGCATGGACAGGATGGTCCAGCTGTCTTGTGACCACCATTTAATTCTCTAAAACTTAATATATTTTTTTAAAATAAGGTTTATTTAAAACAGAAATTAATACGCAAAGGAAAACAAATGTCAGGGGGTCAATTAATTGGGGGTCACACGACGTCTGGGACCACCCTGTCCACTGGTACTTTTCAAAACGGTTACTATTCCTGGGATATTTTTCCACAGAGGAGAAACGACAGTGAACATTGCCTTCTCGGACGAATGGATTCCATAGCGGCAATTGTAACTCGTGCATTTCGCGAAATTCATAATAAAGGTTTTATGGGTTATATCGCGTAAATATAAATGTGTCATTACTTTAGCACACCGGTACGTTGGACAGTAAAGCCACATTTACAATTTGATTATGACGTTTCGCTAGTGATATTATTCATAATGAAAACCTCTCTGTGCCTGTGTGTGCCCCGGTAGCTCTGGGGAGCGGTAGCGTAGTTGTTAGCGCGCTGCGCTACGAACCCAGCGACCCGAGTTCGATTCCCGCTCACGGCCACCAACACCAGTGACGATTATCTGAACCGGTCCTGGGCCTCCTCTAGGTCGACTCAGCCTCGAACGAGTACCCGGTGCGGCGTGTTAAAAGCATCGCCACTGGGGATAAACAAAGGCGCTCGGGGGTGGTGTTTTTCACCCTTTCCTCGTGTGTTGTGCCGGCCTTCATAGGTGCTGCTCGCCAACAGCACTTGCCCCAACATTCAGTAAAGGCCACATGGGGAATCTTTGTCTTTTGTGTAGCTGTGTCCCACGTGTGGCCTGAGCGTGGGCGTGGAGGAGCCGGCGGTGCTGGCTCGGCTCGGGGCCGACCCCCTGGCCTGGCACCCCGCCTGCTTCTCCTGCAGCGACTGCTCCGAGCTGCTCGTCGACCTGATCTACTTCCCGCACGGGGACCGCCCGCTCTGTGGCCGCCACTACGGGGAGGCGCTCTTCCCACGGTGCCCGGCGTGCGACGAGGTAGGGGTGCAAGGGGGGGGGGGGTCCACTCCTGCTTCCCTCCCTGCCCCCCCCCTACCCACCTCCCACCCCCCCCCTACCAGCCTCCCACCCCCCCTACCCACCTCCCACCCCCCCCTACCCACCTCCCCTACCAGCCTCCCACCCCCCCCACCCACCTCCCCTACCAGCCTCCCACCCCCCCCTACCCACCTCCCCTACCAGCCTCCCACCCCCCCTACCCACCTCCCACCCCCCCCCCTACCCACCTCCCACCCCCCCCTACCCACCTCCCACCCCCCCCTACCAGCCTCCCACCCCCCCCTACCCACCTCCCACCCCCCCCTACCCACCTCCCACCCCCCCTACCCACCTCCCACCCCCCCCCCCTACCCACCTCCCACCCCCCCTACCCACCTCCCACCCCCCTACCCACCTCCCACCCCCCCTACCCACCTCCCACCCCCCCCTACCCACCTCCCACCCCCCCCCCCTCTAACAGCCTCCCACTCCCCCCCTTCCAGCCTCCCAACTCAAGCTCCAAGATTCGTAGTGTAGTGCGCCACCCATCCATCCGCATCACTCAGAGGTGCATTGTGCTTTCAGGGGCGAGATGGTTTAGTTGTACAGGCAAACTGCACTCACCAAATGTGGAAAATGTCAGGCATTATTACTGCTCAGTGTATTCAATATCATGTGCCCAGATGTGGGAATTTTGTGAAAAGTAGGCAGCTGTACTTGTAGCTATGTGGTTATAGTGCAGCTGTGAGCAGACACATGAGACTACTAGAATTTCAATAAACCTCGATCCCTAGAGATACCTCCACGATTGATAACAGCCTAAATTTCACTTATTAAGAGGACTCCCCGAATAACCTTCACACTCCTGATTTTCAATACTCTCTCAATGCACTTAAACATGTTGAATTAGGTTGTTCATGAAACTGTAATATAGTGTTTCAACTTCATGCACATTAAAATATAGCGCGATCTTATTTACGATGTATGTAAGGCACGTCACATTAGGATTAGCAAATGTGTAAAGTAACTTGATGAACATCCCATACACCATAAATCACACCAGGCATCGTTATTTTATAAGCAAAATTACAGTGGACAATTGCCTCGGTGATTTCATCAAGGAGCGTAAACCATCACGCAAACTCTGGTCATCCTCGCGGGAGCTTTTAGCTAACCATCAAACTAAGACAGTCACTGCATCGCGGACTTTCTCATGCGTTTCTGCAGTCATTGGAGCGATATTAGGAGCTATGCGCTTTTAAATCTGGATTGAAAACGAATTCCTTCAGAACTGCTTTTTGTGTTTAGTTTATTGTCCTTTGTCCTTCCCACCGCAACTCCGATTAGCACTGTTGGCTATGTACGGTGCAAAAGACGTTCAACAAACATTATCTCTGAAGAGTTGAAGCGTCACCAATTGCTTCCAAGAACAAGTAAAGTAGCGGCACAGTAGCTTCTTCCTTGGCAAAAGTCCCGCGGAGAATTGGTGCCAAGTTTCTTGTGTGTGTGTGTGAGTCCGGCCGCCCAGGCCGCCCACGCCGCTCGCGTTCAACTCCGCCGTTGCCCCCCCCCGCCCCCCGCTTGATCCTCCTCCTTTCCCGCAGCTCATCTTCTCCCAGGACTGCGTGCGCCTCGGCGGGAGAGCCTGGCACAGGAAGCACTTCAGCTGCGCCGCTTGCGACGCCACGCTGCCCGAGGAGCCGTGCAGCGTTGACGACGGGGGGGGGCGGCTCCTGTGCCGCCGGTGCAAGGGCAGCGCCGCTACCGGGCCCCGGCTCGGTGTCTGAGTCCATGCGGCGGCGTCTGGAACGTACGCGCGTAACTAACATACGTTAACATACGTTAGTGCGTACGCGCGTAACTAACATACGTTAACACACGTTAGTGCGTACGCGCGTACGCGCGCGACCGTCGTTGTGACCCGGCGGCTAGACACCAGCTTATGACACCAGCGGTGAATACCCAGCCGACAAAGAGCAGTGTTAAAGACCAGAATATGGCAAGCGTCATATTGTAATCTATCGTCCCAGTGCAGCGTGTAGGACCAACATATGATACCAGCTTACAAGACGAACATTATAGTCTACTGTCTGAGATCCAAGTATATGATGAGTTGCATATGCTTGAAATGAAATAACAGCGTGCATGGCCAGTGTTATATGACCGGCATTGAACCCTAACACCCGAGTTGAGATTATGATACCGGCATGACGAATGAGCAGTGAAACGCAGCCTACGAGAGCAGTGTACGAGACCAAGATACGTCCAAGATAGCAAGACAAGAACGGTGTGCACGATCGCCATTCATGCCGAGCGTATGAGGCCAGCGTACAAGAGCAGAATTGGAATCTCTTGCTCGAGATTAAAAGAGGTCAGGAAAAGAGATAATAGTTTAATCCAAGCCGTTGAGATCACCTTACTTGATCAGCATACGAGACCGGCGGTTATAATCTAGTCCCAGACCAGCGTATATGACCAAAATTAGAGTCCAGCTTTCAAGTCGAACACTAAATTCTACTGTCTGAGACTGGAGTACAACACCTACCTACATGTGAGACCAACTTACTGCAGGAATTCATATTCTTTTGGTCTTTCGGTAAAGCCACGTAGATAGGTTGTTATTTTCTTTGAACCTATCTACTTGACTTTATCGAAAGACCCAAAAAATAGTGTACCTATTCTTGGTTCTTTAGGTAAGGTCACGTAGAAGGGAAATAATAAAATAATAAAAATAACACATTATAAGATACAATTATCACGACGTTTCGGCCACAACGCAAGCAGCCATCCTCAGGTGAAGCTTAGCAGTGTTTATTAGGACGCTGTCTTCCCGACAGCCCTGTTTTCTCCTGAGGACGGCTGCTTGCATTGTGGCCGAAACGTCGTGAGAATTTTATCTTATTATGTAAAAAAATTATTATTTTATTATTTCCCTTCTACGTGACTTTACCGAAAGAACCAAGAATATGAATCCATGCAGTCACGAAAGCTTTAAATCTAAATAGTGTGCCTGATCTACACATAGGATTAGTATACGAGAACAACACGCTTATGTCCGGTCTGAATGCAGTATGCAAGACCAACATTATAATCTACTCTCTCAAACCACTGTGCAAGACTTACATGTGTCACCAGCATGAGAGAGAGAGCATTATAATCTATTGTCTTGGACTATAGCGTCAGAAACCAGCTACAGAAACCAAGCTGCTGGTTTCACTTCAAGCCACAGCCGCTGATATAAAGCAACAGCAAAGAAAAAAATCTCTGCAACACAACTAATCAATCTGTGCCGTGGCTGGGGGCTATTTTGGTAACATCTGAAAAGCAGTATTTATCATGCAGCGTGGTTCGTTTCTACGTTGCGTGCCTTCATGTTGCGTGTGCAGTGCGTGTAGGGAGATGAAATCAGGCGCACGGGGGAGTGAGATGGATCGCAGCTGCACGGGATGGGGATTGATGGTGTACCGATGTAAAACGGTTTCACCCCTCCAAACAGGGATCGCCATTGGCCCGCGTTCATGAGATGCGTAGTTTGTGAAGCACTTACATGACGACAACATGTCCCGTTCACAACAGATTCCACTTTAGCCTGAACGTGATCACCGTTGCAATAACTATACACCTTTCACCGCGCTGGTCGTCGGGGGTTTGTAAAACGTGCCGATGTGCGTGCGTGTGTGTGTTCCCAAACTTGTGGCAAGTCAACGGAGCCATGGGTTTGAGTTGTTCGCTCAGGATGTGAATCTGACCTTTGGACTTAATCTAAAAAAAAAACTACGGCAAACTATTTGAATCCGCCCTTGTGAAATGTGGCGAACTTGCATTCGGATCGTCGGCGTGTGCGGGTAGCAGCGATTGGTCCTTGATGGTTAACGTTCTCGGGGCTCATCTTTGTTCCGGGGCTACGTGACTGCCCTGGGAAAGTGTGAGTTTCCCCCACGGCGACCGTGGCAGGGGTTTAATGTCCGGGTCAGATCATGTTAGCAGGGAGTGTCTCGATCACAGCCACCGCCGAGACGTTTCTCGCCTTCTCTCATTCCGTTATCGCTGCTGCCGATTCATTCATCTCGTGTCCGTTCTGCCGTACCAACTTCGATCAATCAAATCATTCGTGGGCGCAAAGGCGCCGGTGCTTATATCGCCAGATGCGATGCGGCTCCTCCGGCAGGCGACAGCGGGAGCAGGCGAGACGTTCTGATCCGAACGTTGCTTCTTAGGGGCCATCCATTTAGTGCGCACGCAAAAATCTGTCAAAACTTGACCCCTCCCCTCCTCCCTGTACGCACGCGTACTTTTTACACCCCCCCCCCCCCCACCTGCGTACGTACGCTTGACGCACCCCCCTCCCACCCCGAATCCTATAGAACGGCCGATATTTAATCCACGCAGAAACGATCAAGGATTAATAATATGAACGTGTTTAAGCAAACATAGTCCACCGCCGGCTGCATTAAAGAATTAAGTTGCGTACGTTTAAAAAGGTTTGTCTCGTGTCCGCTAGGTTCTAACGCCGACTGAACCCAGTCGGACAGGTGACGCATTGTAGGGGTTTCGTCAACACGCGCAGTGTCAGGCTGCAGCACAGCAGCGTTAGCTGCGGTCTGCTGGGCCGCCGTCTCAAGATCCACAGCGTCGCTGACGTCGTCATCATCATCGTACAGCTTTTGATTGTTCTCACTGTCAGAAGACTCAGTCGTGTGAATTGCGCTGGTGTCGTTGTACACTGGCCGGCGGCAGCTAAAATCTTGAGCCAGCGGCAGTCTGCAGCGAGGCCAGATTGCAGGATGTGTGACCCATGGGGCAGGCCGCCAGACGATGTCAGACTCGCTGCTGAGCTGCGTAACAGCTGCAGTCAGGGGCACGGTGGCATACAAGTGACACCTCTCCCACAGACCTTCCTCTCCCGTTAGTACTTATCTGACAGCTGAAGAAACTGAACTGTGGCTCATTTGAAGGCCAATGTCGACAAATTATTATCGAGGCTTCAACCCCACCCCCGTTTCCGATGCGAACGTACATTGTCAGTAGACCCCCCATACGCACGCGTACGCATTTGGGTTAACCCCCCCTCCCCCCTCCATGCTACGTACTCAATTGATGGCCCCTTAATGTCTTAGAGTCCTCAGAGGAAACCCCCTAGGCTTATGATGCCACTCCGCACGACGTTGACTACATCCCCTTCTTTAGAAAATTCGCTCCCAGTTAGCCTCAACAAAGTGTTTCGTGCTTCAAATGTAAGGGGGCTCAGGCAATGATGTAATTGGGGAAAATGGCCAGATTGTGTCCAGTGTGACAGCAAGGAGTTAGAGTATCTTGGTTCTTTTGGTAAATTAACGTAGAATGGAAACTAATAAAATAATAAAAATAAAACATAATACAATAATATAATATTTTATTATGTTTTATTTATATTTTTATATTATTTTATTATTTCCATTCTACGTGACTTTACCGAAAGAACCAAGAAGATGAATCCCTGCAGTCACGAAAGCTTTAAATCGAGAGTTAGAGTATGTTTATGAAACTGGCAGGAAAGTGGGAGGTAACAAGATGAAAAAAACCGCCTTCACGATGTCAAAAGCCAGCAATTACCGAGTGAGTGAACACCATCGCACGTATGTTCTATGACCATATGTTACGTAACATGGGTTGTCAAGGGGGTCACGTAACGTAAAGTGTAACGGGCACCGGTGCTGTAGTGTGCATGCCAAGATAGACAATGAATGAGTGAGTATTGTATGTTAATCACTGCCAGGGCTTAAGTAACAAAAATGCAAGTGTGGCTCTTTGGCCAAAAACCATATATTTGCTTTCTTTGGTATAATTAATGTCATTTTAACGTTGCTTATGCCTTCAAAATTAATTGCTGTAGGATAATCTGTGTTAATACTGACTAGTGAGTACTCTGAGGCACCTATGGATGCCGTGAAATTCCTAAAGGAATGAGTCATCAAATTGTTTCTGAGTTCTCGAGTTTTTAAATGAAATGTAAAAAAAAAATGTAAGGTATTTGGAAAACTATTAAACTGTTTAGTTTAAAAAGTCCATATGCAGTTATACACTCGTAGTAATATTTATGAATGTGAGCTGAATGTGTTTTTCTACATTCATAAAGCTAAGTACAGTATTAGTGAGATGGTTGATAAATTCGAATTTGCATTAATGTCTCATATCAGAGACAATGAAATATCCACACGGTGAAAAACTCAACATCTTCTCATAAACATTCATTTCCACAGCCTTAGCTGCCGACTTCCTTCCACAACAAGTCGTTGCATACGACACGTGGCTTCTAGCGTGCAGCTTTTCCTCTATTATACTCATCAAACATAAACAAAGGGTGCAAAGAAAACTCTGGCTTCCTGAATATATAACAGTCGTAATTTAGCACGAGGTTTATATTTCCCCGATTTTTAGACTGGGGGTAGAGGGGGTGGGGGGAGCTAGTTTTCATTTTTCGTCTGTATTTAGAATTATTTTACTCGTTGAATTACTAAAGCATATTTTTTTAAGGTACGTGTCAGAAATCTGGATACGTCCTCAGATGCATTTGATCTTCCGGCTCTTTGCTCCGTTGGCTCCTGGAGGATCCATGCACCCTGGAGGACCACACCAGGGCTACAGACCGGGCCACATCATAACCATCATCACACGCGCAATACTGGATAAACTTACACCTGCGGTGGCAGCGCACGAAATTAACTAGACGCATAATAAAAAGCATGCCCTGCCATTTTTGTAACTGCGTACCGTCTACGGATTTTCATTCGGCGTCAACACGACGTGCCGTTGTACAACGTCGTTGTAAAGGTGACGTTCATCGGCCAACATCATCAAACACGATTAATCCACCGCTGGATGGAAGATCGCAATGCGAGAACTATTCCTGAAGTGAGTCCCGGTGATCGTTGCACTCCTGCCAGCGACACGCTGCGCACCTCCTGTCGTATCTTTGCAACTGCTTTTTTGTGTTTCGTTTCGTTGTCCTTCCCTACGTACGCCGCGAAAGCGGTTCAACCGACGTCGCACGCGTACCCGTCGAAGCTCATCGCGATCACTTTGCTTGCTTTACTCCCTGCAGTTACCGATTGCAATTCAATAAAGGGCTCGTGATTTACACACGATTGAGTCCGACCCGTTTGTGCGCGGCGCGCTGTGCCCTCGGCAGCAACTGAAAGGGGCGATGCACTCCCTTCACTCTGCTGCCAAACAGCAAGAGGCCAGTCTTGATTTGAAGCTTTCGTGACTGCAGGAATCCATTCTCTTTGGTTCTTTCGGTAAATACTCTTTGGTTTTTTCGGTAAAGCCACGTAGGTTAAAAAATAAAACACATAAATTAAATCACGACGTTTCGGAGGCAACACAAGCTTCCGTCTTCAGGTGAAACCGTCACAGCAAAATTGCTGTATCAAGTGAAGAGAAGTCCCAAGAGCCACGACCTTATATACTGGTTAAGGGGGGAGGAGCCAGGATGGGCCGCGGGAGAGGAGGAGTTGTGAGATGGTCAGTACTGCTGCTGGAACTGAGCCTTTGTAATGTAAATGGCAGAAGTAGATTAGCAAGCTAGGATTAAGCCGCCTTTTGTTATGCTGCTGGGCGGGTAAAATTCAAAGCAGGCCACCAGCGTGTGAAAAAAGAAGCTAAACATGATAAGCAACGTGTGGTGATGTTGATGGTGGTGCGTGGAGCTGGGGGTAACAGACTGGTAATATGGATATGTTTAAGAAGATAAATCTAAACTGGCTGTCTATCAGTAAACTGCACCAAAGAATATGAATCCTTGTAGTCACGGAGGAGAGCATATTTATGGCAATAAAATTTCCATAAATATGCTACATTCCTCTGTTAATATGTAAACTCATGTGTCAAGGCGCTCTCCTCCTCTAACCCAGCTTAAATATATTGTATTATGTTTTATTCGTATTATTTCGCTTCTACGTGACTTTACCGAAAGAACCAAGAAGATCAATTTAAAGCTCGAAACCATAATATCTATTTTTTTTAAAGTAAGGTATATTTAACACAGAAATGAATATGCAAAGCAAAAAATGTAGGGGTCAATTCATTGGTTGTCGCAAGACACCTAGACCACCCTGTACATTGCAGCATGCACGATTTTACATTTGGAATTCCGACAGTCAGCAGTTCTGCGACCATCCTGTGTCTCGGCTTTCAATGGACCTTTGACTCGTCATCTCGGCAGTATGAACGCAAGCGGTGACTGGATCCAGGAATGTGTTCATCGTTTTAGCACCGTGGCATGTGGAGTTGTCGGAAGAGCTTCGAGAATTTGCGGGACACCAACTCAACACGGGCACAGTGAAACCGCTGTCACATCGACACCGTTTGTCCTGGGTTTTAAGCAGCCACAGCAAAAGGCTGCTATTGTTGTTTCTTATCAGGCCTTCTTGAACGCCTGCCTCACCCCAGCTCACCCTACCCACCATCCGCTTAACCCCGCGACTCTGCTGCAAACACCCCCCCCCCCCACGCTACCCAGCAATGCGTCTTTCCACGCGTGAAATCTCTGGGAAGGTCGCGTTCCCTCATTGGGGAGAGGGCTGGTGCGATTCCAAAGGCAAGGCAGGGGCAAAGGGGGCACAACGAGAGGGGCCTCACCTCGAGTCAAGGGGATAAACACTCCGGCACTGTTTGCTATTGGCGTAGTCGCGAGGCTGTGTATGGGGGATACCGAGAGAGAATACAAGGGGTTCATGCATTCGCCATTCAAACCGCCCGGTCTCTTGGCGATCGGCCAATCGACTCAAAAGTGCACACTGCTTCGGTTTTGTAAAGGTGAGTATTGTATATAGGCTCCAAAAGACTAATGGGGCATTTGCTGCCAGCGAGACATTTTTTTTATTTTCTCAATTTGTGTGTGTGGATTGAGCGTGTCACAGTCGATGCCACACACGTACGGTAGCATTCTGCGGGGTTTACTATGCTCAACGAAGGCAGTGTGAAAGCGCTGCTTTCTGTCTCTTCAAGCAATTATTCGATTTTTGGCTCTGTGAAACTGCAGTTGAACTGCTGTGGGGAAAAGCTTTTGATAAACGGAGTGTACGTAAAGCTATTAACTATGGGAAAGAGTATGAGAAAGTGCCGTATTTAGACGTTTGGTAAAGCTATAAATAAGGCAAAGATCCCCCGTGTAGCCTTAACAAACTGTTGGGGCAAGTGCTGTTAGCGAGCACCTATGAAGGCCAACCAGGCACGCGAGGGGGTGGGTGCCCAGCACCACGCCCGACCGCCTTTGTCTCCCTCGTGGCAATGTTTACACACCGCACCAGGTACTCATTTGAGGCTGAGTCGACCTAGGGGAGGCCCAGGACCGGTTCAGATCGCCGGGTTCATAGTGCAGCGCGCTAACCGCTGCACCACCGCTCCCCACCATACACCACCCTCCCACCTGTGTGCCGTGACCTGCATCCCTGACGCTCATCGCAGCGAGGTGCCAGGGAGTCCCAGGAGATTGTCAACGTCTCGGCTGCGATTCTTTATAACGCTTCTATTAAGTTCTGTAGAAGATCACTCGAGGTTTTCAGTAAAAAAAAAACGACTTCATAAGTAAGTGAGCAATTTGTTGTCAGTCAACCACACAGTTTCACCTGCTGTCGACTTTTTATTATTTTGTGATGGATTACACTTTAATGGTCAGCGAATATTTTAATTCGCTTGTCATGTGGTGTCCTGCTATATGGTGGTGGTGGTAAAGATTACCGATTTGTTTTGGCAAACAGTTTAACTTTTAACTTTCACATAACCACAACATTCAAGCCTACAGTTAAATTTGGTGTCAAATGAAAAGGACAATGCTTTAACAACGGACAATACATATATAGACACCGTATATATGTAAATAATATACGCTCCGTTGAACAGAAAGGATTTTTTTTTCTCTCCACATTTTGGAGTTTCCAAAGAGTTCAGCTCCTGGAGAAGCTCCCAGCAGGTGGAGAAAAACGTCGGATATCGTGCCGAACAGCACCTAGTCCGACCTACAAACGCATCGGCGACCGCAAGTGTGAAACACACACACCGATACTCTTTGCACGTGATATACAACAAAGCACAAAGGGCCCTTCCAGAATGTTATATTTGCCTGCGTGGGATTAGGGCCTTCCTCTTTTGCACGGTTTAATAGCAGATTAAAGATGTAATGTTAGATTTGTTTTCCGCTCAATTGTCTGGTTCAGAAGCAGAGTAGGTCTCGTCAATTCCTCCTCCAAAGGAGTGAACAGGATGCGGTCGATGGCAGTGGCGGCTCCTGCAAAATCTCTCAGGGGGGGCAAATGGCTGGATGATTGATAAGGATAAGGTCCACCCATGCAATGGATAAATTAACAGCTTAAGCATGTAAAGGCAACTTCACTTCTTTAATATTAATGAAAAATAAAGTGACTCTTACAATACATCTTGTTTGTTTCTATACTCACTATTAATACAATCCACTCAAGTTTATTTTATTAAAGATTCCACTAGGTGGCGACAAATTATATTGTTGGATGAAACGTGCTTACGTATGATGACGTAAGCACGTTAGGGCGAGCCCTCCCGGAAGCCATAGAGAATGCATTGGAGCGCCCGCCGTTCGAAAAAAAACATCTTTGAATGTAAGTCTATGGGGCCACTCGGGGCGATTCTCAGCCGGAGTGAAATCGCCCAAAAAGAGGCGGTACTCCACAGAACGTGACATGACGCTGATTGGACTATATCCAGAGGCACAGTAACGGCGAGCGTAACTCTGTGGTTGAATGACATTGGTGGTGCGTCGCCCAATCGCCCTAATGAAGAAACCGCCCCTGGTCGATGGTTTGGGATTTTTGGCCGCACTCGCAGCACGCCGAATCATCGATGCGCCGTTTGTGGCATAAGGTGGCCCCCATCAGCTACACGGCCCGGTGCTGACCCGGTTCACGGTCGACCATTGGCGGCGTGGAAGGTTGAAACCGGGAGGTTCGATGGTCGGGCCCTGTATGAGATTCTAGATTTGAAGCTTTCGTGACTGCAAGGAATCATACTCTTAGTTCTTTCGGTAAAGTCACGAAAATAAAAAAATGAAATTAAAATTAATAAAATTAATATTTTTTTTATTCTTATTAATTTTACCGAAAGAACTAAGAGTGCCTGTATGAGATGTTTATTTTTTGACGTCGGCCAAAGTCCAGACTTGCGTCCGTCTCTCACCTTCATTTGTATTTGTGCCCGTGGTGTGAGGCTGCTGCTGCTGCTGTGATCCAGAAGGGGTGGCGCTGGGTTTATTTCCCGATGTATCGGTAGGTTCTGGTTTTTACGAGAATATCGCGGCCTTCACCCGAGAGCACTGCCAGCGGCCTAGGAAGCAACGCGTTTCATTTGAAGGGGCGTCAGCAATCCGCTGCGCGTTTTAAAGCTCGCGATTAAATGTGATCCTGCGCAGAACCTCGGAGGGCGCGGCGGCGGTGGCGGCTTTTGCTTGTGGCGCCAATAAAGACACGGGGGAAAAAAGGTTCAGAACGAATTGTCCAAGTATCCTTTTGTATGTGTCACTGGTAATAAGGCACGCCGACTTTGAACGCTTGCAGACGTATTGTTTTGTAACCGGACCAATGTATTTTTTTTTCGCAACAGTGCCCCCCCCCCCTAAAAAAAAGGGTCACCTGAATTACGGATTCAAAACATATGCGGGCCGCCCTCTGGCTACTTACTCTCTCTGTGCCCGAGGTTGGCATTCGTTCCCATAGAGAACACTGTCATAATACAATATATATCCGTAATGAAACCCACACGCTTGAATCAAACAAAAAATGTACCTCTTTTATCGTTATTTCGTTTCGAAATGTTGTGTCCGTTGAAATATAACTCCTTTATACCATACGCGTGGACATGTTGAGTCCATTTTTGACAGTCCACTGCTGGATGAGGCGTCCTACCTCCCCCAGTCAATGCATTGTGGGGTTATTTGTCCATACCTCACCACGCTGGTCAGTGTGGAGTACATGAAAGTTGAGAACATAGATGTGGAAGCATAGGAGTACAGACAAACATTGCACTTTTTTCTGCACTGCACATCACGTAGCCACGGCAGCCTTTTGAAAAACTGCATGGTGGTGTCTTCTTGGTTCTTTCTCTAA